TGAGTAGGATATGTTAATTAAATGCCAAAAATGTGGAATGGTAATGTTTGGTTTAGTTTGGGATTTTTTTGGTAGGAGTGGGTTTTTTGTTTTTGTTGGGTTTTTTTTAAAGAAAAGAGTGACAGAACTTACATGTTGGCATCTTAACACCCTTATTTGTCATACTGATACATTAGAATTCAAAGAAAAAAAAAAAAGTGATCGATTCATGTTTTTGTATTTGATTTACATTTTGCTCTTGTCTTTGCAGGTGGCAAAATGGTTCATTTTGAATTTAAGGCCATATTTTATGAATGGTACAAAGTATTTGGGATTAAGAAAAGAAAAACTGTTTTGGGAACATTTGGTTTTGACCGACAGATTTATGAGGGGGATATTTTAAAACACACTTCCTCCCCAAACTTGCAGTCCAATTGTTACAGTGTCAGTCGAGCTGTGAGGACTTGAGGAAAAAATAAAATTTGGGTAACAATAGACACAAACCCAACATCGCGCTGCCACCCTGTGGCTCGGAGATGAAACTTCTGCTGTGAAGGTTGGAGGAGGGATTATGCTTTATCTTAAGCTTCTAATCAGATTAAAGAGCACTTCTGCACAAGGAGCCGCTGGCAGCTGTTGGAATTCAGTGCAAGTTAAAGAGAAATACAGAACAGATCAGGACAGTGTTAGATGTGATAACATGTGGGTTCTGAAACCTAAACAGTGCCTTTGCCAGGGAAAGGAGAAACAGAAAAACATCTGTACCTTGGAGAACAAAGGAGAAGGGATCGTGATTTAAACTATTATCCTTGAGTAAAACAATGTAAGAAAATACAATTAAATAAATACTAAAATTTAAAGTAAATCCTATAACCACAAAATGTTCAGGCAATAATAAGCTCTGCAAGAGATAAGTAACTTAACATCTATCACAGGGGTTTTAATGCAGATCACAACCATGAGAACTAAAAACTTGTAATAAAAGTGTAAGACAATAATTTGATTCCAGCTGAGGCTTTTCCCAGAGGAACAAAACAAGATAACAAAAGCCCAGAATACACACCAGCAGCAAATATTAAAGCTTGTATTACAATTGTAGCAGTTCAAAATGCAACCAACCATAAAAAGTACGGTCTTTCAATATCTGTTGAAATTAAATATCTATAAAAAAAAAGAAGTTATATGTGTGTGTTAGCCATTAAAATACACAACAGAGCATGTGATCACTTTCACTCTATTTCAATTTTAATAATGTAAAATAGAAAGTAATTTAGAATAATTTTCTTCCAATTTTCTATCCACAAGAATTATTTGTCTTTAAATTACATTGCTCCCATTCATCCTTTAAAGAAATATTTTCTGAAGCCTCTTGGCTACTCTTAATAGGTTAAACAATTTGCCTCACTAAAAGCAAAGTTCAAAACTTTGCTGCATTCCCCTTTCCATAATGAAATGCCCTAAAGAGTGTGGTGGAAGAGAAGCAGGTATCTCAACATGGGGGTACAACATGGTCTTTCAGCCTTACCTGTCCTCATTTAAAAGCCTCAAAGATGGCACAAAGATGCTCCCTGGGAAGAGCCTCCTGACATTCCTCTCATTTCCCAAGCCTCCACATCCAAGGTTGTGCTGCAAACTTTGTTTCTGGAGTGCCTGTTCTGCTGCAGTTTTGCCCTGCACGTGTCTGAGTGCTGCTGTTGGGTGGGTTGGGGTTTTCCTCCCTGTGCTTGGACAGCCCCGCAGGTTCCTGCAGGATCCTGGGATCTAAGCTTGGTCTGACAATCCATGGAAACCACTGCAAGGAACAGAAGACAAAGCTCGACAGACACAGAACGGACTGTGATGTTCTGTCATGGTTTTATACCAACTGGAATTTCTCCAAGCACAAAGGGTTTCGTGTCCAGCACTATCGGAGTCCAGATGGAAGGCGAAGGCAGCACAAACAGCTTCCAGTTGCAGTTTGCCATGATGAAACAGTATTACATCTAACCCAAAGTTACAAAGCAGCAGTATACACAAGTTTGTATACATACTTCACACGTGGGAGTTTAATGGCAGTTCAGTTTTGCTAGGATTCAGTTTTTTAATCCAGTTTGATCCTGTCAAAACCCAAAGCCATCTTGCAATGACTAGCAGGGAACACGGTGAAAGAGAGAAGTATTTATTTATTCCTTGCACAGTGCTGGCATTTGCTGCTCTCTAACCAAACCAGCCAGAGGCCAGTTGTGCATTTTCAAAAGAACCAGACCCAACAAACCTAGGCACAAAGACACTGTTTCCTTCTGCTTCTGGGCTGCACCTCTTCAAAGAAAGATTCAAAAGATTTAAGCCCTTTGCAGATTGCTGCCAATTCTGGATGTCTCACAGCTGATGGCAGAAAATACAGCACAGAAGCAAAGCATAAATGTCTTACCCACATTCATAAGGAAGAAAAGGACATTGCCTTTCACTCACACCTGCATAACCTGGGCTTTGTGCCCTGCTCTAAGGTAAAATACAGCTGCATCTCATTATCACCTGAAATAAGAAAAGAAATATGAAAGAAATTGGCCACAAGTCAGGGCCCAAATGTGTAGGACACTAAAAAGGAGGGGAAGAGGCTGAGGTGCTGGTTGTATTAAACTAAAGCCACATCAATTACAGAATAAATCAGCTAACACTGATTTATTTTTATTTTCCATGTTGTCTGGATCACCTGTAGAATGGCTCACTTTCCTCTTGGAAAGAAAGCAGATTCTGGCCTGAACTGCCAAATATTTGGGAATTACCATGCACACACGAACAAAAGCTATTGAAGGAGACAACTCAAGTGCATTTGTTCTTTTCACTGAGCTTCTTTACAATGTTGTGGATTTCTTCTAATACAGGCTGGAGAATACGGAAGTCATTTACCACCTTAGACTGTCCTTAAATATCTGATGTCTATGAAACCACACATTTCTAGAATTTACTCATGTATTAATCTTAAAAGAAATTGTTTATCTTGATCAGATCAGCTGACTTCCTTTTAGACATAAAAGTGTGCTCCCTGAGACACATGTCACCAATAATGATACACAGGCCTCAGAAATTTCCCATCCATCTGTAAAATCATTACTGCAGGATATTTTTTACCCATCAATATGCTGACTCCTCGGGGGATCTCCTTCCCTTGGAACAGCAGGCAAACTTTGATTTTTGACACTTTGCACTGAGTAGGGGGGGAAGTATATACAATAACAACAAAAAAGCACAGTATTAGACCAAATTTCCTGCTCAATTAATAAAGCAGACAATTTATCTGGCTCTCCTTTACAATTCTAGGGGTACCCAATGTGTTGGATTGTAACTTTATTACAGCTCCATGATCAGTAGCAACAGACAGACCTTGTGAGGAGGAATTAATTAGCCAAAGAGAAAAATCTTTGGACCTCTCACCCGAAGATTTTTCCCTTCACACAGGCTTTTTTTCTGTAGGCAATATAAAGATTTACAAGCAGTGCCCAGCCTTACATCAGATCGTTTATCTAAAAACTGCAGGACTAGAACAAGAATTTTCCTGAATAATATTTGAGTCTTTTGGTAGACACAGGCAGTTTCCTCACCTTCTGAAGGCAGAGTAGCAGGTGTGGTAACCACTGAACCCCACTTCTTACATGTATGATGCACCACCACCACCACCACCAGATCTATAAAGATCTATAAAGATCTGGCCACACTGTTCTGTGCTCCTCCTGCCCTGCCCCTCCCAGCCTCTTACCTTCTTCTAGCCCTCCTGATTTCCTCCTCCCAGCTCTTCACACAGCACTGGGTATCTATCTTAATGCACAACAATCTTTCAAGCAGCTAGAGGATAACAAATAAGAGCATTAAGTCATGAAATTTGTGTCACTGTTTACAGAGGACAGCTTTCTGTGAAATACAGCAGTGACTAAATGAGCCAAAAGCCCCATATCTATCAGCTAGTTTGAAACACAAATCATTTGTAAACAACATGTCTCATCTTTCCCAGAGCCTAGAAGCAAAACATTATTTTCAGTCTCTCACCCTCAGGAGAGAGTAAGAAAAAGCAGACACATACTTAAAGGTTTCAGTTTGAAAAATATGCTTGACTGAAAAACACTTTTGTTCACTGCTTGAAGCTTCAAATGAAACAAAGCCAAATTTAAAAACTCTTCCCTAAAACAAACATCTAAATGCTGTAAGCCACAGGTTTTTCCCATCCATAAAACTCAGCTTTATGGTTTAAAATGATTGCCACAGGAGCAACATTTTTATCTGCCCTATGATACGTGACAGCTGGGAACTGCACCAGAGATCTGTCACCATCCTGACTCCATCTTTTACAGCTTTGAAAAGATAGATAATGCTGTGAAATTCCTGCACATTCCAACTAATTCTTTCATTATTCACCTGACTTGAGGTTTTTTTTTTTTGTTTGCTACAGGGATGAAGATAAGAGACATTTCAAAGTTGCTCAAAATGAAGACTGGAGTAAGAATCAGTAAAGTCTCCCATTTCAACTGGCTCCAAAACGTGCAGGACAGGGAAACCAACCAGATCCATCAGCATCTCTAGGCTGGCACAGATGGTTGAGAATGATGTGACACCGCTCAGGAAACCCTAAAGGGCACAAATGGTTTTAAARTGTCTCTGGATGGTTACACAAAGTGCTACACAGGCTAAAAAGGATGCCAACCTGCACCTCACTGTGGCTGAAACATCCAAAGCCATGCCAGTGCAGCTGTGAAGAAGAGCTTATTTGGAAAAGCCTTCAGGCCTGGCTGATTTTCCCAGTTCGCTCACCAACAAAAATGTTGTGTGTCTGGAATGGATCCACACTCACCTGAAAGCACACAAGGAGCAACTGATTTCTATTCTGATCCCACAAAAGTGTGTCCTAACATGACCAACACATGGAGAGAATATTCTGAGTTCTGTAGAACACCAGGTAAGGGCATAGAGTGATCCCTTCCAGACAGGCATATGACAACTAGGGAAAAGGAGAAGGCCGACTCAAAATAATCTAGAAAGCTTTAAAATATAAATGTTTATTTAGCTACAATATTTAAAAGTACAATATAAAGATAAAAAACATAGAAATTCCGTAACTTGTTCACATGCTAAAAGGATTAATTGACCAGCTGTAAGGAGAAGACTTCATGAAATTCATGGACGTTTTAGCCACAAGGGTTATTCCAGCAAGTTTCAGACTTGAAATATTGAACAACCATTGCAGAGAACTTGCTCTCCCACATCACCATAACTAGGGGGGAAAAACAAAACAAAACCAGAAGAAAAAATGTCAGTGTGCCTTCAACTGCAACCATGGGACTCCCACACAGCACATTCAGTATTTCTTTATATCACAGAATTGTTAGCAATGGGGGAAAAAAAAAAAAAAAAAAAAAAAAAAAAAGAAAATTATTCCTTGGTATTGCATGCATTCAGCACTGGGCAGCAAGCTATATTGCTGGTGGGAAAGCAGAAGAAATCCTTGCCTCCTACAACATTTAAATAAGAAGCTAAACTAGGCTTGCACTGAGGTTGATYAGACTGTTTCACACAGRTTTGCATGTTCCAGACAGTTTTACWCWGCTAAAACARGGGAAGARTTTAAGTTCTTTATGTGTATGAGCYAGATATYTGCTGGAACCAACTTTTAGGGCACATATAATTAAAATAAGCTTCAAAACTCAACTTACTCAACGGTGGAGCACAAAGAGCAGGTGACCGCGTTACAGCAGCTGCAGAGCCGGCTGCAGCTCTGACACACAAGCCGCTCACACTGCGCACACGCGTCCTTCACATCGGCCGTTCTCACGCACGACGAGCAGGCTCTGGACGCTCCCACGGGCGGGACTGCTTGGGAGAGACACGGGAAGGAGTGATGAGCTTTACAGCACGGCAGAGAGAGCTGCTGGAARTCCCGAGAGCTGCTACAGGTGGCAGCACTTGGCAGGACGCTCGGGCGGGCAAAGGCGCAGGGAGCTGCTYGGAACTTTCTTGGTTCTTTCTCCGCTCAGCGGCAAGACACTAAAGGATTCTAAAGCAGAACATGCGGTAGTTCCGGAATCCGTCAGCTCAAATCTAACACTTCCTTTAGGGTAAGTCAATAAAGAAGAATTACACAGCACACAACTACTCGTGGTAGTAYAGACCTCCCTGTGAGGGGAAGCGAGGGGCAGCACCGGTCTCTGTGGCAACCAGGGGAACGAACCGAGGGAATGGGATGAAGCTGACTCAGGGGAGGTTTAARCTGGGTATCAGGAAAAGGTTCTTCACCCARAGGGTGATCTGGCACTRCAACRGGCTACCCGGGGAAGYGRTCACRGCCCCAACCCTGCCAGAGCTCASGAAYCATTCGGACAASGCTSTCAGGCTCACGGTGGGAACGCTGGGCGTGCCCTGGGCAGGACAGGAGCTGCACTTTAACGGGTCCCTTCCCGCAGGTGTTCCGCGGCTCTGTGACACAGCCCGGGCACTCACCCCTGTCCGCCGGCCGCCGCCGCAGTTTGCCGTCGTGGCCGATGAGGAGCTGCCCGTTCCAGCGGGGCCCCTCGCCCTGCGCCTCCCCGGCCGGCCCCGGCTCCGCCGGGCGAGCAGCGGCCGCCGCGCCCTCCATGTACGCCTGGGCACCCCTGAAGAGCAGCCGCCGGGTCCGCTCTGCCGGCGGGAGAGCAGAGCAGAGCAGAGTTAGGGGCGGGCTCGCCACGGCCGCGGCCCCGCGGGGAGCGGCGGGCGGGCACATCCCCCGGAGGAGCGGCCGGCCCGGCGCTTCCCCCTCCCCGAGCCCCGCTCACCGAACACCTCCCGCCGGTACTCCTCGCCCCGCACGCCGCGGCTCAGCTCCCGCAGCCCCACGCGGGTCTTCAGCTGGAGCGGGGCCGCCTCTCCGAAGGGGCAGGAGCGCTTCGGCATGGCCGGACCGACCCACGCCCGCCCCGCCCCGCCCCGCTCCGCGTCACGGCCGCGCCGCCGCCTCCCCTCACATCCCGCTCGGGGCCCTCGGCAACCGCGGCCGCTCCATTCTTTCTGCAGGGAGCGAAGCTTCGTCCGTAGCGGAAGATCTCCCTTCCCGCCGCGTCCCGGGCGCCCGGCGGGGTTGGCAGAGGCGCCGGGCCCGCCCCGCCCGCTGCCACCGCCCCTCAGGCGTCACCTCCGTGCGCCCGGAGCGCCGAGCGGGGCAAAGCAAAGCCAAAGCGGCTGTGGGAGCCGCGTTTGTGATAAACCCGGAACCACGGAAAATGCTGGCTTGGAAAGGACCCGCAAGGATCATCGAGTACAGCTCCTGGCTCTACACAGGACACCCCAAGACTCCCACCCGTGCCTGAGAGCGGTGTCCAAACGCTTCTTGAGTTCTGTCAGGGTTGGTGCTGTGACCGCTTCCCTTGGGAGGCCRTTCCAGAGCCCAGCCACCCTCTGGGTGACGGACCTTTTCCTAAACCTCCCCTGACACAGTTTCATGCCCTTCCCTCGAGTCCTGTCGCTAATCACTAGAGGGACGAGAGCAGAGTCTGCCCCTCCTCTTCCCCTCACGATGAAGTTGCAGCTGCAGTGAGGTCTCCCCTCCGTCTCCTCCAGGCTGAACAGATCAAGTGACCTCAGCTGCTTCTCGTATGGCTTCTCCTCAAGGCTCTTTATCATCCTCATGGCCCTCCTTTGGACACTCTAATAGCTTAATGGCTTTTAGAATTATTATTGTGGTGCCCAAAAATGAACAATATTCAAGGTGCGGCCACCCCAATTCAGAGGAGAAAAGGACAATCCCCTCYCTTGCCCAGGACAGGGATGTTCCTCCTGGCTACCAGGGCACTGCTGGCTCATGTTTGATTTGCCACAGACCAGGACCCCCAGGTCCCTTTYYCAGTTTCCCAGTCCATCYCTACACCCAGGCTTGCCCCATCCCAGCTGCAGAATATGACACTTGCCTTCTTTTAACTCCACACCRTCGGTGATGGCGCAGCCCTCTCATTTATCGAGGTCTCTGCAAGGCCTGTCTGCCTTCCAGGGAGACTTTTGCTTCTCCCGATTTTGTATCATCTGCAGCCTTACTTAGTATCACTTCAAATCCTGTGTCCAAATTGTTCATGAATCGTKTTTCCTCTCCTCTGCAAGTCCTCCAGGTCACCTGTGCTCACTGAGCTCTTTGCACAGCCTAAACCCCCATGCCCAGGTTTGGGCTGTCTGAATGCTGTTGAACCACCAAAAATGTGCACAAGCATGAGAATCCACTTTTTGAAAATCCACCGGAGGCTGGAAACCCCTGTCTGGCCAGGGGGCTTTGGGGGCTCTCCTCAGCATCAGCCAAAAATCAGAATTTGTGGGTACAATTAGCCTTTGGAGACTGACATTCAGTTTCAGCTAAATCTGGAGTGCACCAAGACCTTCTGCTGTGAAAGGGAATTACTGCAATTAATTTGCTATTTACACACCCCAGGTGTGGTTTCATGCGTTAAAGCCTCATATGTCTTTCCAAATAGCAGCCAGTCTGGTTACTATGTATATTTTGAAAATACATTGTTTTCCTCAGGGCAAACAAGCTTAAAACTGGTGTTGGAGTTTAGGCGCTTTGTTTTGTGTCACTCGAAGGAAGTGGTCTGTTTCTTCCAGAGAGGTCTCTGAATTCAAAAGTTCCCCTGTATGTACCGTGGGATTCAGGACAGAATCCCAACCAAGTACAGGAGTGATTTTTCCATGAAAGAACTTACAGTCTACAAAGGATGAAGGACTTGTTCCTGGTTTCTTTGTTTTGTCTGGTCAAAAACAAGTCATSMWRTAAAGATGTACATTCCWTCCTGAAACAAACAAAGMAACAAACAAAACCTCTAAACACCAAAACCCAAACAATAACAATTTCCCAAAAGAGTAGTRACAGAATCATTATATTTTTAAAGGCTTTCTTTCATTCAGACACCCATAAAAACTTCAATGTACCATTTCAATATTAGCACAAGATTTAGAATGACAATCATTTATATGAAAATGCAATTATGCAAGACATACAGCATAGATCAGTGTGTTGAAAATGGGCCAGGATACCTAATGGACTAACTCTGGTCTGGTTTCATTGCTTGAGTTCTTCCAAAACAATTCTTCCAAAACGGTTGAGACACCAAGACCAGCAGAAGTGAATACAGTGTCTAACTATAACTGTAGAATCACAGGCTATCCTGAGTTGGAAGGGAGCCACAAGGATCACCGAGCTCTGCATCCTGGCTGTGCCCTGGACAGCCCTAAAAATCACACAAAAGCCAGAGAACATGTTCCAAACACCGAAATGATGAGAATGGGCTGCTGATTTAATGCAGGTTAATGTGATTTTTTTTTTTTTTCTGTACAGCTGATCAGCCCAGCCTTGTGGTCTGTGGAGTAGAAGCTATAGTTGTAATTCACGGCAATTCCCAAAAATCCCTTCTGAGCTCCAAAATCTTACTCCTGCCACTCTATCTGTAAAGATTTCTGCTTTGGCTTTTTCTGCATATACTTGTAAATGCATGCTTAAGGATGTTCAGCAGACTTTTCCAACTGCATGAAAACTCATGGTCTTTCTGTCTAAGGAAGTTACTTCATAAATATTCATTAGCTATACACCGATGTTTCTGAAGTTCTCTGGAGAATATTGGTTAATCAGAATGCAAATCCAGTTGGAAAGAGCCCTGTCAGGACAGAGGACRGTGAATCACACGTGTTTCATTAAAATGACATGGGATAAACATGGATGGAWCTCRGCTGTCTGAGAACTGTATGAAATAYGAAGAAAAATCTAAAAGTACTACTCCACTTGTGGAGAAGGAGTGCTCAGAAACTGCTCTCAAATATGAAGTGGATTTGAAAGAGAGCAGCTCATGCTGYAACAGCACTGCTGGTGCTGTCACTGAAGAGTAAATTTAAGAGCACTTTCACAGAATCCCAATATTCTGAGTTGGAAGGGGATTATGAGCATCATCAAGTTCACCTTTCCCCGAGGGCTGATTACATTTGACACATTGCCACCACCACCCCACTGCAGCAATGCTCTGCTGCAGCTCTCTGAGTCAGCCTCAGGTGGTGACATCTTTTAATTGCTTTGAAAGGCTCACCTTCACCAACATCTGCCACTGACCAGCTACATTCTCTTTGCAAGCTATGAAGGCGAAATAATTCTGTCTGCTCTGCACCAGCAGGCCTGAGCACCCTGCAGGGAGGGAATTGGTTCACCTGCCTGTCTCTTGAATTGKTACCCAGTAGAATGAGTGTTTTATTAGTTTCAGAGTAGTGAGCCTTGAGGAAGATCCACTGGTGATTTGGAAGCAGCAGAAAGGCTGAGACCTGACCTGGCAAAGCTTGTTGGTGTTGAGCATTCCTGAAAATCAATACTGGAGATTTTTCAGCTAAGTTAATGAGATTCTGGATGTGAAAAAGCAGCCAAAATGTCCTGAACCAGTGAAATACCATGATTTTAGTTTCTCCTTGAAAACCCTTTTGTGCAAAACCCCCAAATCCCAACTCAAAACCCACAGAATAAATATTACAGTCTTTTTCTTGCTACTTTGYTTCTCCTGTACCTGTGTGAAAATTACAGACAAATTGCCTGGTTGATAGCTTGGTCACATTCAGCACAAAGAAAAATGGCATTTCATATATTCTCAACAGTTTCCATTTCCAGTWAGCAAGTGTAAGGAGCAAAGAGGGTGGTTATTGTTAAGTCTGTCTTTCCTGTATTCTATTTATTCCAGTGCTTCAAGAAATTCAGGGCAAACACAAAAGAACTCTGGGTGTCCCCTATGTCTATTTTTATGAAAAACAATGAATAACCATTCCCTACTGGCTCTCTGAATAACATCCATGATTATGAAGATATCTCTCATCCTTCTTCATGTTTTACTCAAGAAGAAATATTTTTTTCACATAGGAGAAGTCCTTTGCAGTGTGTCCTGATCCACATCACCCTGTGCCACATCCCAGTTCATGGCATGGAAAACCAYGTAGGAAGGGAGGGAGCCCTGGGTGTCCCAATAGCACTGCACAGATACATCACTGATACCTCACTACTTGTGTCTCTTCTTCAGAGTACTTAGAAATACATTGAATGGACAAAATCTTTCTCAGTTTTACCAATATACTGTCCCTGGGATCACACTGATCCCTTTGTAACAATTGTCATCACATTCCTTGAGATCAGTTTAATTAAGTATATCAAATTCTGACCTGAATAAATTGGACTCCACCCACAAAACACRTAGATTTAGATTTTTATGCACCAGTAAGCAATTACAAATTGAAGATTTTTTTTTCTGATCCATCTGTCAGACTACCATAATAAATTTTTCTCTGTCAGTCAATGCTTCCAACTACTCTAAAATATAATTAAAAATAAACAGGCAGATAAAAATCAGAGTGTAAGTCACAGACATTGCAATTCAATGATGAAAACTTTCTTAAAAGGAAAAGAACTTACAAGCTTGGGACTGAGCAAACTGAAGAAAATTCTGCCTTTTGTCTTAAGCAGGGTCAGGAAAAATATCCAAGACAGCAGATTTGCCTTTGTGAATCTAATATTTATCAGTCTTCTTTCCCTCTATACCATGTAAGAAACTTACAGTAAAAAGTCGAGTTGTTCCATTTCAAAAACAGGCAGCAGATAAATAGCAATCCAGGCTTTAAAATTACTTTATCTTTCCCTTCAACTTCACTGATACCGATGCTGTCCCCTCCACATGYTTGTAGTAAAATTTCCCCATTTATTCTATTATTTCATTATCAGGCCATTTAGAAAGATACCAAAGCATGTCACCTAGAGGTGGGACTCTGCCTCCTACCCCWCTTAAAATAGGGTGTTTCTTTAGTTGAATTGATATAAAATGAGTGGAATTTGGGCAACTCGCATAGTTCTTCTCTAATGTTTTAATGATAAAATGGTTAAAGGAATATTCTGCAAATTCTTCCAAGTGTAAAGTATATTACAGTAGCTGATGTAGTTGGCCACATGCCAGCATGCAGCCTGTGTTATATGGGACGGACTATCAGGATGGGCACACATCCCCCGCTARGCTTGGGGTAAAGCACCACACCCCTTGTACTCAGTCCCACTGCACTGTCCTTTCTCTGCTCTGCAATATGGATCTGAAGATTAAAAATCCCTCCTT